TATTTAATTCCTCTTTAAGCATCAATGTCTTCTGATATGTCAACTCCGGTGAAGATCTGCCAATATATTTTCTCTTTAATAATAAATAGTGGGCAAATTATATATCTGGTCGATCGGTAAAAAATAATTATATCACATAATCAAATGTATATAAATATATATGTATATTTGTGTATCAACTGAAGTGCATCAAAGAAGAATAAGATAGAGTTTTATTGGATGAGGGGCTTATGCGTCGGAGATGGCAGACCTACTTTCATAGTCTCTTGAACGAGGAGGGGACAAGAACATTGTACTGGGTTATTTGGAAATCCCCGGGAGTCATTGTGACTTTGGGTATTGTAGGCGGATTAAAGTTGAGGACTTTGAGGGGGCTATGCATAAGATGAGTAGGGATAAAGTGACCAGACCGGATGAAATTCCGGTAGAGTTTTGGAAAAGTGCGGGCAAAGTGGGTTTGGAGTGTCTCACTAGGTTATTTAATGTCATTTTTAAAACGAAAAGATGTCCGAGGAGTGGAGATGGAGCATGATGGTTCCTTTATACAAGAACAAGAGTGATATCCAAAATTTCAATAACTATCGGGGTATCAAGCAGTTTAGCCATACTATGAAAGCTTGGGAGAGGGTGGTTGAGCTAAGGGAGAGGAGGAGTGTGTCTATTTTCGAGAACCAACTCGGGTTTATGGCGGGGCGCTCGACTACATAGGCCATTCACCTTGTTAGGAGTTTGATGGAGCAGTATAGGGAGAAGAAGAGGGACTTGCATACGGTGTTCATCGACTAAAAGGCGTACGATAAAGTCCCGATAGAGATTTTGTGGAGATGTTTGGATGCTAGAGGCGTACATATTGCCTACATTAGGGTGATTAAGGACATGTATGATGAATCAAAGACCCGAGTGAGAACGGTAGGAGAGGACTCAGACCATTTTCCGATCATAATGGAGCTACACTAGGGGTCGAGGTGCCGTGGTGCATGTTATTTGTGGATGATATTGTATTGATTGACGAGACGCGAGGCGGTGTGAACGCGATATTAGAGGTGTGGAGGCAGACCCTAGAGTTTAAAATTTTCAAGCTGAGCAGGACCCAAGATAGAATACTTGGAGTGTAAGTTTAGTAGTGAGACACATGGAGGGAAAGAGGAGGTGATGTTGGACTCGCAAGTCATCCCTAGGAGAGGAAGTTTTAAATACCTTAGGTCTATTATTCTGGAGGATGGGGAGATTGATGAATATGTCACACATCTTATTGGGGAATGATGGATGAAATGGAGACTCACTTCTGGTGTTTGGTGTGACAAGAAGATGCCATCAAAACTTAAAGGTAAGTTCTACAGAATTGTGGTCAGACCGACTATATTGTTGGCCTATGAAGATCACCCATGTCAAGAAGATGAAGGTAACAGAGATGAGGATGTTGAGATGGATGTGTGGGCACACTAGGTTAGATAGGATTAGGAATGAGATTATTCGCGATAAGGTGGGTGTAGCCCCTATTGAAGACAAGATACATGAAGCGATGCTTAGGTGGTTTGGACGTGTGAGGAGGAGGAACACAGATGTCCGGTGAGGAGGTGTGAGAGGTTGACACTGGAGGGCTTACGGAGAGGTAGAGGTAGGCTCGAAGAAGAAGTGGGAGAGGTAATTAGGCAAGACATGGCGCAGTTTCAGCTGACCGAGGACATGACCCTTGATAGGAAGGTATGGAGGTCGAGGACTAGGGCAGTAGGGTAAGTGGTCTAGATTGTTCATACCGGTAGTATTAGTGTGCACTTCTCGTAATCTGTTAGTAGTAGGTCTCTTTGATTACCCGTCGTTTTCTTTCTTTTTGATCATCTTATTATTGTGTTATTTTTATGCTGCTTTTACATGGCTTTTTGGTGGTGTCCCTCCTTGTCTATCTTTTAATTAATATGGTGCTTATGTTTTCTTGAGCCAAGAGTCTACTGGAAATAACCTCTCTACTTTCACAAAGGTAGGGGTAGGGTATGTGTACACACTATCCTCCCCAGACCCCGCAATGTGGGCTAATACTGAGTATGTTGTTGTTGTACTCCCTCTGTTCACTTTTATTTGTTCGCTATACTAAATCAAGAGAAAGACAACCTTCTTTTCCTGTTTTACTCTTATTAGCAACTATTCATTCCCCAAANATATATATTCATTTATTGTTTCTTACGGGCATAAAAAATCCAAAATGGGCAACTAAAAGTGAACGAAGGGAGTATAAAATAAGTATAGTATATGTAAATTACACATTAATATACAAAATTATTATTTGCCGGCTATTACTGTTTGGAGCAGCTATATTGTGTAGTTTTTTCAATAATATAATTTATTTATAAAAGAGAGATTTTTGTCTTTTAACATATCATTTCTAGTGCTTTTTAGTCTAACAACAACAACAACAACCGAGTTAAATCCCACAAGTGGGGTATGAGAAGGGTAGAGTGTACGTAGACCATACCACTACCCCGACGAGATAGAGAGGCCGTTTCCGAAGAGTGATTTTTAGTCTATTTATTCAAATTGATTTCCAATTGTGAGATGAATCGGATCCTCCACCCTTAATCAGAGGTCTTGAGTTTAGGTTTCAAAAATAGAAAAAATCTTGATAGGGAACATTTTTTCTTTAGTGAGCCTTACAAAGCGGGAATTTAAATTAGTCGGGGCTTCAATGCAAATATCGACACCCGATGAAAAATCAAAAAGAACTTCACATATTGTTGTGCTTTATTAGTCGATAGATTTAAGTTTCATTAATCCAAAGGGGACCAATTGAGACACAAGATCAGTGGCACGCCAGGTTGGTCATAACAAAAGAACAGTCTGTGTATGGTAAAAGTAAAAGTACATTAATTCACAAAAATTCAAGATTCTTGAAATTCCCAAACAAGACAATGGGTACCAATTGGAAAATAAAAAATAAAATTAAATCTTCACTTCTATTTCGAAATACTTCTTTCTTTCACCTTCACGAGGTTGAACACCTTGTGCAAATTCATGATTTCAGTTCAGTATGTTCACAGTTTTTGGCCATTGGTTGTTATAGGACCTTCAAATTATTTAAAATAGTTTTTTTTTCTTCAATTTGAAGCTGGCAAGTGAACAATATAAATTGAGTTTATATCATGTCACCTAAAAGATAATTATATATAATGTTTTTTAATAAATAAGATTAGCAACTTAAAAAAATATCTAATAAGTTACTTTCTACAACATGAAAAAGTACACTTAAGTGTAAAAATTCTTTACGCTATTATATAGAAGTTAAATGAACTTGCATATATATTGGATGGTAAGAACTTTTATACTATTAGATCATCTAAAAAAAATACTAACTATAAGAGTTGCATGGAACATAAAAGAATAAGACAAGCGACTTATTACAATTTAAGTATAATCCCGGGATTAATTATACCGTAATTTTTTCCCAACCAAACATGGGATAAACTCTTCTTAAATTTAATTTCGGGATTAATTATTCCTTATCCCTCATACCAAACGAGCCCTTAAAAGGACTAGAAGCTCGAACCTATAAGCTTTAATTCCTAGCTCCTCTCTGACAGTATAGGGTCTGAGGAGGATAATATGTATACCAACCTTACCCCGCGACCTTACCCCTACCTTACAGAGGTAAATAGAATGTTTCTGATAAATAATCGGCTTAAGAGAAGTTAAGCATAATAACTATGGATAAATTAAGACCTAAGCATTATTATAAAAATTTAAGGGTAATGTTGTCATTTCACACTACCCCCCTCTAACTTTATATGAACGTTTATATTCATTTCCTCTAGGCTCTAGTCAATCTTCAGTCTATCCGTTAAATTCAAATTTCTTCCACCAAATACTGCAAAAAGAAAACTTCTTGTTTCACTAAACAACACAAACACAACACTGAGATTATCATTGACTAGACATAGAAAAAACCAGAGAAACAAATACAGAACAGAGATACAGATAGTGAAATAGATATAGAGAGAGAAAGAGGAGAGAGAAAATGTCATCAACAACAACAACAAGAAAACCAAAATGGCAACCAACACCACCACCACCACCAAGTCCTAAAATCCTCCATTTTCCCCGCAGAACTCGCCGGAAAAATCCCAAAAACACCACCACAAAAAACACAAAAAGAAAACATCTTTATAATATGTGCAACCCTTTAGAGTTACATGAGAAATATTATTACAAAGGGAGGCTAGAAAATTTATTTGATCAAGAAAGAGAGTTTCATAGAAGCTCTTCATCAAATGTGAATATAGTGGTACCCACTGCTTCTACCTCTAATTGTACTGCAACTGAAAGGAGGGAAAGAGTTGAAGAACAAGAAGAAGAAGAAGGTGGTGGAGAGAGGTATGTGAAATCATAAACTTTTATATGCCAAATTTCATATTTTAGCATAAAGTTATGATTTTTACAGTTTCTTAAAAAACGGGGTTAATTAATCTTGCTTGAATTTATGAAAATTTGATTTTTATGAAGACCCTTTTCTCTCCTATAAATGTGCGTGGAATAAGAAAAAGAAAATATGAACTAAGTTTTAGTAATATTTTAACATAAAGTTATGATTTTATATTTTTGTAGGAAATGGGGCTAACAAATCTTGCTCGAACTAACTCAAGTTTGCTTTTTTTAAGAAGACCCTTTACTCTTGCTATGAATATTAGACTGGCATGATTCAAATTTAGAGTAAATTAATAGCAAGAATGCTGCTTTTAGACATATAAATTGTCAATGTTTTGGTGAAAGGGGGAGGTTTGTGGAACCAAATTTAATATTTTAATATAAAGTCATGATTTTTAAAATTTTCTAAAAAATGGGGCTAATAAAATCTTGCATGAATTAACGTAGATTTTGTTATGTTATTTAAGAAAACCTTTTAATCTGTTATAAATATTACTAGAATGAATAGCAAGAATGCTGATTCTGTTTATTGTGAAAAATTGATTCTTGACATAGAAATTGTTTTATGTATTGGTGGCAGCAGGGAGAGGTTAGGGGAGGAGAAGTGGAGGTTTCAGGCAGAGATGTTAAGAGCAGAGTGTAATTTCTTAAGAATGGAAAGAGAGTTTGCTCTGAAGAAATTGGAAAGGAATAGAGTTAAAATGGAGAAGACTCTCAGATCAGCTGTTCAGACTCTCATTTCTGTTAGTATATTTTTCTCCTTATTTCTTGAGAGTATTTTAAGTTCTTTGTATTGATAATGCAAAAAAAATATTTACACAATAAGGTATTAGGTTCTTATCATACACATTAATCAATATTGTAGTAATAGTGATAACTAAGGAGGGGAGCCTTGGAGCAACGATATAGTTGTCTCCATGTGACCTATAAGTCACATTTTTGAGCCGTGGAATCAGTCATTAATGCTTGCATTAGGGTCTGCTGCCTACGTCATACTCCCTTGGGAGGCGACCCTTTCCCGGACCCTGCATAAATGCGGGATACTTCTTGCATTGAGCTACCCTTTTTTAACAATGATAACTAACATGTTATAAGATAAAACAACATTGATAATGTTATCTTTATAATGTCTAACATATAACTTAAATACAAATTGTAATAGTTGTGAGTACCAAATAGAATATATAGTCATGCATATATGTGTGTGGTGCTTTTCATGTGAAAACAACAACAACAGTGAACCCAATATAATCTCATGTGGTCAGAGGAGCATAGAGTGTACCCAGACCTTACCCCTATCTAGAAAGTAGAAAAATTATTTTTGATAGACCCTCGATTCAAAAAAAATGAAACGAGAGCAATCGTAACAAATAGTACTTAATAACAACAAGAAGATAAGAGAAACGAAAGGAACAATATGTAGTAGTAGAAATCTACTAATAATATAATATAAGACTAACAAGAAAAGAGGTTTTCAGAGTTTTCACACAAGCCCACTGTCCAAGAAATGCACCACTGTTCAAAATTGGTAAATAGTAGTAGTACAAGTTTTAATGGGGTTATGGTTTTCAAAATTGTCTATTTATTGAACAGAGTAGAACATTCGAAATGAAGTTTAAAAGTCATTTATTTATTTTAACATTTTTCTTACTTTTGAGGAAGTTCAATGTCAATTTAGTTCAGAACCTATTAGCAAAAAAAAAAGGTTCAGAACCTGACTATCTTTTTCTTTCTTTATATTATCTTTACTCCATAAAAAAGCCAAAGTAAGAATTCTACTTTTCTTGCTTGAATTTTGCAGGGGAAAAAGAAGATTTTTGAAGGAAAGAATGTGAATGCAGTATTGGAAGAAGAGATTGAAGATTTGGCAGAAAAACTTGAGGAGTTAAAGAAGAGTTGTAAAAGTAAAGATGTTGAAGTGAGACATTGCAGTAATTTTGATAAAAAAGCATGCCTTTTACAGAAAAGGTTAGAGAAGCTTGGTGGTTTAACAGATGAAAAAACTCTCAAAGAATTACAACAATTGGCTCATCAATCAAACAATGAACTTGACAAAGAAAGTTGTGCTTCAAGTGGCAATGACAAAAGCAATAATACACCAACTGATGTAAGTTTTTGGTTTTCTTTACTTGTTGTATAGTTGCCCAAAAAGAGAAAAAAGTTGTAATCTTGATTAAGTATTAAACTTAAAAGCGGCTATAAAGTAAGTCATGCTTAGGTTTTAGGCAAATGATTATGCATTTTAATCAACTAAGTAAGTAAATATAAGCTTAATTAATAGCTCCAGAGACTTTTCTTGTTGAGAAGGGGAGCCTTGGCGTAACTGGTAAAGTTGCTACCATGTGATCAGGAGGTCACGGGTTCGAGCCGTAGAAATAACATCTCGTAGAAATGTAGGATAAGACTGCATACGATAACCCTTGTGGTCTGGACCTTCCCCAGAACCCGCTCATAGCGGAAGCTTAGTTCACCGGGCTGCCCTTTTATCTTTTTAGACTTTTTTTTTTTGTTGAGAAAAGACATGATAATTGGCTTTACTTTTGAATGTTGTGTGCATTAGTTCCTTATGATGGAGAACTATTTGAGAACTTCCTATCATTTGAAAATTTCACCTTGCAATAGGAATAGGGTAATTGGTAACTCCACATGGGCCATTAAAAAAAAGAAAAGAAAAAATAAAGAGCAGCCGGTGCACTAAGCTTCCGATATGCGCGGGGTCTGGTGAAAGGCCAAACCACAATGGTATATTGTACGCATCCTTTCCTTGCATCTATGCAAGAGGTTGTTTCCACGACTCGAATCAATTTTGAAAATAATAATTTTTTTTGAAAGACGCCAACAAGGGATGGTTATTTTTAAAATGATTTTAACGTATATGCACTACTAACAGCGTCAAGAATCTTTACACTATCAATATATTTTATGTTATAACAGGTTTTCTACCACATCTTTAGGTTATCAAATAAGGATAACTATGAACAGTTTGTTGTTAATCTGATAATGTAAAAAAGTTTGTACACTATCGGTTTCTATTTTTGGTTTTGGGAAACTAAAATGTTAAATATAACATTTTGCAGGTGGAGGTTCTAAGGAAGAAAATGGAAGGATTGTCAAAGGGTATGTTAGATAGAATGGAGGAAGAATATGGGGCAATACTTTCTACCACAGCAAACAGTTCTGTTGCCAGTTCTGCTTCAACTTCCAAGAGAATTGACTCTTCCACATCAACTTTTTCTACTAGACAACCATCTCAGGTAAAGTCAGAATAATGAAATGTTTTATACATATAATTGTACTTCTCTTGTCTTTATCTCAACAATAATTTTAAACTCTGTAGGGCACTTATTATAATAGTGTAGTACTGAACTTTTATTTTTTTCTTCTATTGTCCTGTAGTAAGATTAAGATACTGCTTTTAACCTTAGAGTTATTTTAAATTTATCACCAGCAAATGGTGGACCATATCAACATAAGATGAAGTCCTGTAATTGTAGAGGGGCCTGGAAATTGTTATTTTGCTAATTGTCTTGAGTCGAGGGTCTATCGGAAATAGACTCTATACGTTAAGGTTGGGGTAAGGTCTGCGTACATAATACCATCCCCATACTCCACTTGTGGGACTTCACTGGATCTGTTGTTTTTGTTATTGTTGTCGTTGTATGTGTTGGATAGGGGTGTTCATGGTTCGGTTTGGGTCGGTTTTTCCCTAAAAAGAAACCAAACCAAGTAAGTCAGTTTTTCAAATATTGGAACCAACCAAACCAATTAAGTCGGTTTTTTATCGATTCAATTTTTGTCGGTTTTTCGATTTTTTCGGTTATTTATAGGGTTTTTTCTTAAATATGAGACATACACTACCAAACACATATTCCGGCGACTACATTTTCAATGTAACACTATCAGATCAATTGCTCTTCGAGAAATCTATCATTTACCAAGATATATTGATAATAATTGAATCAAATAGTGATGAATAATTTAAGTACTAAATTAAAAATCGATTATTTTTACATGAAATAGATTCTTGTATTTAGCAAAAGAAAACTATCAATCAAACTAGAATGTAAAAGCAAAGAATTAAATTGTTATAATAGCAAAGAACTAGACTAAAAATACAAGTGACTAAGATGTACTATAAAATTTTAGAAACTTTATATAAAAGTATACATATATATATATAGGTGTAATAATAAATTTAAATAGCTACTTTTGCAGTCGGTTTGGTTCGGTTTTTTCGGTTATTTTTTGATTAAAACCAAAACCAAACCAAATTTGATCGGTTTTTAAAATTTAAAACCAAAACCAAACCAAACCTAAAAAGTATCGGGTTTTTTGGTCGGTTTGGTTTGGTTTTCGGTTTGGTTCGATTTTTCGGGTTTTTATGAACACCCCTAGTGTTGGATATGGTATTTTGATGATGTGGCAGCCTTATTTGACAATTTTATTTTATGTGGCAATCTGTAATTTCTGGTGTCGAGTTGATGAATTTCTAGAGATTTTCATTTAATGCTATCTATAGGGATAGTTCATGTATTTTTGGTTATTGAACTAAGGAGTCGTTTGGTAAGGTGTATAAGAATAGTGCTGAATAAGGTGTATTTGTAATGCATGGGTTAGCAATGCAAGCATTAGTTGTGCAGAGATTATTTCTTATCCACTAGTTCATCATCCGCGAAAATCAACCCTAAAAATAGAGTATTCCGCACAATATCTCAAGAACTGATGATAATCTTTTAATATGATATAACATTTGGACTTAAGAAATCAGAATTGAACATTTGCAATGTACTACTTGTCTTCATCATACAAGGAGTGACTATTCCTAGTTTTGAACTGATGAGATAATTTTTGCACCCTTTCTTTCATACAAACAGGAGTTGATGCCACTTGACGAGAACAAATGCTCAGGGCGTTGCAAGGTTATAGTCCGAAGAATCGTAGAACAAGTGAGAGCTGAAACTGAGCAATGGTCACAAATGCAAGAAATGCTGCAGCAAGTCAGGGGTGAAATGGAAGAACTGCAGGCTTCTCGCGATTTCTGGGAAAATCGTGCTCTTAATTTTGCTCATGAAATCCAGTCTTTAAAGTCCTCAGTAAGAATCTAACCTGTTCTTTGTTTAGAATATAAAGTGGAATATAATTATAAAAAGTTCAGACAGTATATTATTTCTTGGAAAGTATTCTCATTGTCTTGGCTTTTATTAGGTGGAGGAATGGAAAGAGAAAGCACAGGCATTTGAAACCAATGCAAATGAGTTGCAGTGTCAATTATCTGCAACAAAAGAGGAGCTAGAAAAATCAAGGACAAAGAAAGCTATAACACAAGATCAGAGGGAGGTAACATCTACTCCAAATTCGCCTCTGGTGTCATTAGCCAAACAAATGGAGAAGGAAAAACGCGTGCTGGTTTGTCGGTTGAAAGAAGAAAATGCCAATCAAAAGCTGCAAAAACAAAGAGGTATGGAAGCAATCACAACGAAAGATTTGGCGCCTGTTTCTTTAGGGAAACAACTAGAGAAGGAAAGTCGCATGTTTATGCATCGTCTGAAGGAAAATCGTGGAGCCAAAGATAGGAGTTGTAAGCCGGAACTTTCGCCTGTTGGGAGAAGAAAAGAACATTCATGTAGCAAAGAATCAGGAGTACAGAAAAGGCTACCATTTAGAGATATTGGGAATTCATCATCTCCATTACTAGTGAGGCAAAATAGTAAAGCAGTTTACCCTTTGCACAGCCCTGAGACAAGACATGCAAATCAAAGGTTGTGAAAGTAAGGCAAATGACTTCTTTGTCTTAGCAGTTTTTGTCATGTTATTGTCTGCCTTAGTAAAACTTTGCTTAGTATTGAGTGGTGCAAGCCTTTTGTAGAGCAGACAATTTTGGGAAATAATAACGGCATCTTTATTTGCTCATTTCTTGATTCATGGCCATATTATGCAGACTATTCCCATCGGCCGATTCAACTGAATCCAATATTTTCGACCAACATAAATATTCTTGTAAAATTTTCAATTTGTTTCGAAAAAAATCTTAATATGGTGGCCTAAAAGATCTATAGTTGTAAAAAAATAAAATAAAAAGGTTATTTACTAAATATATACTCCCTCTGTTTTAATTTATACAAATATATTTCTTTTTTAGTCCGTACCAAAAAGAGTGATCCCTTTCCATATTTGGTAACAATTTACTTTTATGTACTCCCTCTAGTCCAAAATAAGTAATTTTTTGGCATTTTTTTTGTGGTCCAAAATAAGTGATTTTTTCGGATTTCAAGAATGAATTAATTATTTTTTTCCTACATTGGCCTTGGAGTAAATAGTGTTGGAGTATGTGTTAGGAGTGTTTATGTGAAGAGATAGTAAAGGTTAATATGGTCAATTTTATTGCTAATTAATGTTAAAAGGTAGATTTCTTAATTTGTGTGAAAACATCCAAAAAATCACTTATTTTGGACCGGAGGGAGTAATGATTTATAACCACACAAAATATATGTTCCTTATTTTACACTATAAGTTCAAAAGTCTTTTTCCCCCTCCGTACCCAATTAAATAGTTTCAATAAATTGAAACGGAGAGGGTAATATAAAAGGGACAACTGGCGAAAATTTCACCACACAAGTAGGGTCCTCTTTTAGCTTTCTTAGAGCCCGTTTAGCCAAGCTGCCAAAATCTGCTTATTTTGAAAAGTATTTTTTTAAAAGTACTTTTGAAAAAAAAACTGTTTGTGTTTAGCCAATTCATTTAAAAAGTACTTTTTGCAATATTTGGTAAATAAATTGTGTTTGACCAATCTTTCTAAAGTACTTTTGAGTGTTAAATTGCCAAAAAGGATAGTACTAAGGTCTTATAATTCTTTTATATAGAAAAATGAACTTAAATATTTATCGTAAGAGACTTTTATTATTTTTTATTTTATTTGATTAAAATATAAAGCATAAAGTAAACAAACATATTAAAGATTTAAATCAATTTTGCATATATAGTTATACCAAAGCATATGATATTATCTAGTATAATTACTTATTGTTATATGATGATTTGAATAATTAAAATAACATCATTCAGTATAAATTAGAAGTCTATCCACGAATTACTATATATTGATAATCCATCATAAAATAATAAGTAAAATCACTCACATATGATAATATTTCACAACAATTTCATCTGTACTTCTATCATACAACACCTCCATATTAGTAGAAGACTTGCCTCGCATTTCTAAAGGAATATTAGAAGACTCATCTCCTTCATCAATCTCTGCCGTAATGTGTTCATTAGCATAATAGTTGAATTCTATATCGGTAGAAGAATGTCATCAGATGAAATTATGTTTAACCATGGTATTTGTAACTAGATGATTCTGAGTGTCAAACTTGAAAGATGACATTGAGCGCAAAATAGAAATATTTTTAAATATATAAAAAAATCATAAGAGAAATAGTTAAGTATGCTTAAATTCTAATTCAAAAAGAGTAACTAATTATTTACAACACATAATGTATGATTTATTTATTTTTAAAAAAAAATTAAATTAAAAAAGTAATTATTACCTAACCTTACTAACTTTGTCCCAAAATGCCAAGCGGCCTATTGTGAGGCTACCACTTCACTTAATGTGGTTGCATTTTCTTTTTCTTTTGATAATATATAGATAGATTATGCAATGCAATTGTAAATTTATTACCTATTTGTAGGTCCCTTTCACAAATTAGATTTGATAACTGTTTTAAAGATTCGGGAACTAATGCCATATAATAGAAGAAATTATAAATGATTATTTGTAGGAAGAGAATTGATAATCCAAAGAAGGATGCAGATAATTTACTTTAGTGTGAAAAAAGAAGAAGATAATTTGGAACGTTACAAGACATTACACAAAGAAAAAATCAAAAACAAGAAATGTCAATAAAAATTTTGGAAAGATACAATATGATTCATATACACGATATCTTTAATTTTAATAGAATGATAAAAATTAGAAACAAAAATGAAAAGAAAAACTTAAATTAATAGGGGATAATTTGAAAAATATAAATTTATGATGAGGATAATTTTATCTTGAACAAATTAATTTTCTATTTCTGCTTCTGTTTCTTGGAAGAAGCTAGAAGTTAATTAAACAAGTAGGAGATGATCTAAGTGGTTGATCAATTTATGTGGTTTTGAATCATTATTAATCTTGTGTTATCAGTTAGGTTCTGTACTAATTATGTTTTAACTTTTGCATAACGAATTACTATAAAACTTTGACTTGCCCCAACGTTGTAAAATCATAATATATAAAAATCAAGATTCTGACCATAGTATTGCGTTTTAATTGAATCTGCTTGAAAGAAATCCTCCTAATAATAAACATTACTTAAGTTGGTAAATTGTCAAGCTAAACTTTAGACATACATGTCTAAACTGACAAATACGAATTTTCGCAACTTCAAATGTTATGTCTCAACTTGATTTCAAAATAGTTAAATATACAAAAATTTATAAACTTCGACTTAAATGGGGTCCCAAAATTGACAGCCTAAATTCAGAATCAATTTGTTCAATACTCCCTCCGGTTTAAATGAATTTTTGCCTTTTTTTTTGTTCACAATATTTAACTTTTTCAGATATCAAGAAGGAATTAACTTCTTCTTTCCAAAGTTGTCCTTGGAGCAAAGAGCTTAAGAGTAGTTTGTTATATTTTCAATGAACAAATTAAGGTTAATATAGTCAATTTCATTGTCAATTAATGCTAAAAGGTGAATTCCTTAATATGTGTGAAAAGAGCTAAAAAAGAATAAGCTAAGTAGGCGTTTGGACATGAATTCTAATTTTTTTTTTAATTTGGAATTTCACTAAATTTTGAAAATGAAGTTGTATTTGGTTATAAATTTTGCAACATATTTGGATATTTTTTTTTCAACATATTTTGCAACTAAAAACTAGCAACCTTCCCATTTTCAATTGAGATTGGAAAAATCGTAAGATTTTGATAATCAAACACTGTTTTAAAAAAAAATTAAAAAAGAAAAATTTTCTTATGTCCAAACGGGCTCTAAATTTATTCATTAATTAATTCATTTATTTCAAAATTATTAGTTCTGTATCTTACATATATTTTTTTTTTTAACTTAAGTGATATACTCGAACTCCGAATGATTTCGAACAATTCATCACTCTCTCTTTTCTCCGGCGAAGTCAAACTGCAGGTACACTTTCTCTCTCTACATTTTCTGCTTTCTTAGCTTTATTGAGACAAAAACCCTAATTCCTTTCCCCAATTGGCTTTAATGGTAGAATCCGAATTCTTGAATTTGTGTTACAGTACTTTGTGTATCTGCTCCTTAGTTCTTAGTTTTTATAACAGAGCCTCAAAATTCAATCTTTATTGGTCCTCAAGATGAATAGAAATTCAATAAGTTAATAGTTAGAACTTGTGGTCCGGCCCTTTCCCGGGCCCGTGCATAGCGGGAGCTTAGTGCACTGGGCTGCCCTTTTAATAGTTAGAAATTGTAGTGTAGGACATACAGTAAGGGTTACTTTTAACTGCTGAAAGACCTTTTCAGCCATTTACTTTTGGATAATAAAATTGACAAGAAGAAAAAAAGGTGTGTGTGTGTGTGTGTGTGTATAAGCATAATATTGGATTAGGTATAAGGCATTTGTTTTGTGTCTGAAGAATCGGTGGATAAACAATTATATGCGGAAGTTGCTTTGGAGGAAACTCGATAGACTGTACCGAAGAGCGCATAATCAAGCGCCAATCGACTTCCTATAGCTTGTTGCCGCGGAAACTTACCAGTGTAACCAACCAGTTATAGGAGGTCAGAAATAGGTGCTAGGAGCTATATGAACATATCTATACTTATAGCATAGGCCGTTTCTTTGTACCAAAAAAGCCATTTTTGTTCTATGGGTTGGCGTAGGCCGTTGTCCTTTTAGATGCAGGCTTTGAATTCATTATATCGTGACAATGCTTGTTTTTCTGTTTGTCTTTCTTTTTGGTAGTTACCGGTAACTTTTTGTTTACTATATCTGAGTTCTTACTCTGAAATTATCTTCTCTCTTTGGTCATTATATTACTTTTGCAGCAAACATCGACGAGTCTGATGACTGATATACACCAAAGTCGAGAATCGGTACTAATTATTTTTTCTGCATCTTTGAATCACATAATGATTTGAGCAAAAACTGCTAGAAACCTTGGAAATCAGTGGGTGTTGAACTTTGGGTGGCTTATCTTTCTTATCCATGGCCAACCAGTTTTGTGCGAATGTTGAAAGTGAAATGGTCAAAGCTGTTGCTGCAGCTGTCCTCAAGGGAAACTGGGACAATCTTTTGAAGCCTAAAATCGGTTCATTTCTGACTTCCACCACTATTAGCCAAGCCCTTCTTGATATATCACAATATTGTTTCTCCCGTTCATGGTCATTCTTTAAGTGGGCTGAATCAGTTCCCAATTACAAGCATTCTTTGCAATCTTCTTGGACTATGATTTACATACTCACCAAACAAAAACACTTCAAAACTGCACAAGATATGCTTCAGAAGGTGGCACGTAAAGACTTTTTATCATCGCCGACAGTTCTGAATGCCCTTGTGAGCTCCAATCAGGACAAGGATGTGAACTCGCATCTTTTAAGTTGGTTGGTTATTTTCTATGCTAATTCAAAGCTACCTCATGATGCAATTCAAGTTTTTGAGCGTATGAGGGTTTGTAAGCTTATGCTCCATACACATGCTTGTACTACCCTTCTGAATTCATTGGTCAAGGATGGGTTGACTGATACTTTATGGAAAACTTACAAAAAGATGCAAAAAATGGGGGTGGTTCCAAATATATATATCTACAACGTGCTTATGCATGCCTGTTGTAAGTCTGGTGATGTAGAGCGGGCTGAAGATTTGTTGAGAGAAATGGAGTTTAAAGCTACACTTCCTGACCTTTACACATATAACACATTGATATCATTGTACTGCAGGAAAGGCATGCATTATGAAGCTTTGTGTGTGCAGGATAGGATGGAAAGAGCAGGAGTATCTCCTGATATTGTTACCTATAATTCCTTAATTTACAGTTACTGTAGGGAAGGGAGGATGAGGGAGGCTATGAGGCTTTTCAAGGAAATTAAAGACGCAACCGCTAACCTGGTTACTTACACTACATTGATAGATGGCTATTGCAGAGCCAACAGTATTACTGAAGCTTTGAGATTGAGAGATGAAATGGAGGCAAAGGGTTTGTATCCAGGGGTTGTCACTTACAACTCAATTCTACGGAAATTGTGTGAAGAAGGTCAGATGAAGGATGCAAATATACTATTAAATGAGATGAACGAGAAGAAAGTTGTACCTGATAATGTGACATGCAACACTTTGATTAATGGTTACTGCAAGATCGGGGACATGAGATCTGCTCTGAAAGTGAAAACTAAGATGCTGGAAGCTGGTCTAAAACCTGACCGCTTCACTTACAATGCTATGATTAATGGCTTTTGTAAGGCAAAGGATATAGATGGGGCCAGAGAGATCTTATTTGACATGGTTAGCGTTGGACTTTCTCCCAGTTATTACTCATATTCGTGGCTTGTGGATGTTTACTGCCACCAGAATAATGATATAGCAGTTCTCTCATTGATAGATGAGTTTATAAGAAGAGGTTATCTTGTTGACTTATCCTTTTATAGGGCAATAGTAAGGAGGCTGTGCAAGAGAGGTAGAATTGATAGTGCTGAAAAGGTTTTCCACATTATGCAAACAAAGGGAGTGCTTGGAGATAGTCTAGTATATGCTACTCTTGCATATGCTTATTTTAAAGTAGGGAAGCTTGATGCTGCTTCATATTTGTTAGACGAGATGTACAGAAGAAGGCTAATGATAACTCTCAAAATCTACAAAAGTTTTAATGCTTCTTACTCTGATGAGAATAGCCTTTTGGATATGTTTTGGAGTAATGTGGTGCAAAGAGGTCTGATTTCAAGAACCGTTTACAATGACATCCAGCAATTAAAGATACAGTCTTAGAAACAAATTGGCTGCAGAAGCCTTTGATTCTTGAGAGATGGTTATAGTAGCTGGATGGTGTGATATAAGCATTGGCACTCTCTGTTATTTGTTATGATTCTAATTGTTATGCCCTCACAAGCTCCTATTGGAAATATGATGAGAGAACACACTGGCAACTTCTCTTTATTATAAACTTGTGATTCAAGGCAAGAAGTATATATGGAGAAGTTTGCATATTTCTTAGTTTGTTCATGTCCAACTATTGATCAAGAAAGCACATGGAACAAGGATTTGTTGGACAAAATGCCATGCGAAAATGTGGGGGAACAAACGGCAATGATTATAGGATACATGCAACATAATAGGGCGGAAGTTCATTGGATTTAATTATCAAATGACTGCTCGCGATTGGGCAAAATGCACAGGTTAAGGGCAAGAGTAAAAGAGAGCAAAGCAGAGAAACTACAATGATGCAGTAAACATTAGCATCATTGTTTCTCTGTGGGTATGACATTAGGCGACAGGCAGTGGAGATTCTACTATCTTCAACTGTACAGGTGATGGATATGACTCAGGCTTGCCATGAAGTCAGTTTGTATTACTTGGACAATTGAGCCATAAGCATGAAGTGAAATGCATTCATGTAAATCTTTTTTATTTATCCATGTTGATGCCTGGTATTTTCTTTTTTCTTGAAATAGTATCATGCTCTGATGAGGCTTTTGGTTTTGTTCAAAGGCCGGGGCATTTAACAGGGGATCCATGATAGGGATAAGTGATGCATAGGAGATCGATGATGTAAAAATAAGAGATCTTTTCGTAGTTATTTTCTTTTATTTAAATTGTAACAGTTATTTTGTTGTCTATCGGAAACGGTCTCTCCGCCCTTCCAGGGTAGGGGTAAGGCTGCCTACATCCTACTCTTCCTAGACCTCACTTGTGGGATTACACCGGGTTGTTGTTGTAACCAGTTACATTGTACCATTTCCTCCTGACTAATGTGGCCAATTTAGCCATATAATGGGTTGCAAAGTGAGGAAATGCAGTACTTTATTGTTGAGAGATTTGACAAGCTATACCTTGCTGGTCAAGAGGAGGAAGATTGGATAAAATTTTATATTAGGACAGGATTACTACAGGAAAGAAATCTTTAACCAATTTAAAAGCAAACGCTTGTTTAGTTTATAACTCATGGCTATGCACTCTAAAGGCAAAGGCATGTCAAACATGCTCGCTTTTGGCAAACTTATGATCAAAAGTATTAATTAAGGGGCTATACTACACCTATTCAAATATAAGAGAGCATTTGTCATTTTCTCTGTAATTTTACAAGGAAATAATAATACTAATTAAAAAAATGGAAATCAACCCAGCCCTAATAGGCTCAGATCTCTTCATTTTTTCTATCTTCTTTCATTTTATTCCCTCTATTTTCTTTTGCATTTCATGTTTCCAAAAAAAAAAAAAAAACAATAAGATATGTAGAAGATTTTGGCACCTCAAACAAAAAAAAAACATGAAAAAGACAGTAGTTTTTCATAATTTCGCACTCCCCAAATCAGTATAAAACTACCAACAAATAATTGGGGGTTTAAGTAGGGCTTTAACTGAAACTTGAATCTGAAGAGTTGAACCCAGACCCGACCCATTTTCCATTTCCCTCCGGCAACTGTGAACCTCCAGAAAATGGTCGGCTTCCATGTTCTCCGAGCCGCCCGTCGCCTCGCTCGATGCTCTCTCTCCTCCCTTCTTCTTCGTGGTTCACCTTCTGTAACTCTCTCTCTCTCTCTCTCTAACTATGTTCTTCACATGGTGTTATTTTTTTGGTTTAAAATTTCGTTCTTTGTGTAGATAATTATATATGCATAAATTAATTGGGTGATCTCTGAAGAGTTTTCTGTTTAATGTAGGCGTTTGGATCATTCTTGAAAGTGGGATGCAGGAGATACAACACGTCAACGAGGAATCGAGCTGGGGTTTTGTTCCCATCTAATTCCTTAAATGGTATATGTCATATTATCTGCTCATTTCTATTTGCGGTTGTTCAAATTTTAGTGATAAAGTTATTGCCTTTTTGTATCTGGGTTTTGCTGGGGTTTTGTTCCCATCGAGTTCTTTAAATGGTGTATGTCATATTATAGGCTCATTTATATATGGGGTTGTGTAAGTTTTGATAAAGTTATTGCCTTTGTGTATCTGGGTTTTACTTCTATCCTTCTATTGGACTCTATGAACCATAGAGTGGTTGGGAACTTATCTGTGAAACCAATTTAGGGGCCAGTGAGTGTTGGCCTAACAGTGTCGATTTATGCTCTACTTATGTTGTATTTCTTGCAACTAGTTTGGGTTAGAAGGTGTCCGGTACTGGAGAACAATGAGGTTTCTGAATCAAATTCCCGCGGAAGCGGAAAACACTGTCATTTCTTCTCATCTGCCTAAATATTGGTGGGTAGAGTTACCCGGTATCTGTACTGATTGGTGGGAGGTAGCAGCTACCCGGTGGAGTAGTTAAGATACCCACAAGTTGGTACGGACACCATTGTTAGCAAAAATAGGTGTCTAGTACTGGTGTGTAAAGATTGTAAATTTAGAACTTGTAACTATACTCCTATACTTGACCAAAAAGAAAGAAAGGAAAGGAACCCAATTAGTAGTGACACTTCCCTTGCTTCGATGCTATTGAGGAAATAGAGATAGCGTGAAGATGTTTGAGGAAATAGGTGAGAATTGAGAAAGGAATGGAGAGGGTTAGGAGGGATTGTGCTTTTTGAGTTTTCTGGAGTTTTGGTAGAGAGGAAATGATGAGAGAGGGAAGGAAAGCTTAACTTTTCTCATTGCCCAAATTCAGCGGAATGGTGCCTCTTAAATGAAACTTTATGATGCTGCTATGTTTTTAGAAAAATTATGTCTATAGAATCATGTTTCCATATGTGTCTGGTATACCATGTTCAATTAAACAAACAATTTTTATCCATATGAAGTGTTTGTACCGATCTTATACCACGTCGGGGTAGGTGTCAATGGAAATGAAGTGTTCGGGAAGCATGATATATATCTCTTCATGTTTCATTGGCAAGGAGAGAAAAGAAAGGAAATGGCATTAATTGACGCTAATACTTTTTTTTTGTTTATTGTGCCAAATGTTTGTTCTGCCAGTATGTTTAAGTTTCATTTAAAAGTTTTGTTTAAAGAAGGTTAAGCTTTTGCTATTTACTTTTTTTGATAAGGTAAATTGTATTAATCAAAAGGGAGAAAACTCCCGTGTACAAGAAGTATTAAAAAAAAAGTAGAGAATTTACATCAGAACATGATTCTCTACAAAAGAAGCCCAATCTTCCCTACATGTTGGTGCTATCTGGGTGCACCAGAATGCGATTAAAGATAAAAGACTATTCCTAAGATGAGAAAAAGTAGACTTAATCCTCTCAAAAACTCTCCTATTTCTCTCCACCCAAACTATCCACATGAGAGCTAAGGGGGCAAACTTCCACGCCTTTTGCTTTCTTCTTCGACAGACACCGGCCCATCAGTATAGCATTTCCTTAACAGTTCTTGGCATAACCGATTGAACACCAAAAAACTATAGGATTGCCCTCCACAGACCCGCGACAACAGGGCAATGCAGTAATAGATGATCAACTTCTTCCTCTGAACTTTTACACATGTAGCACCAACTAACAATTATAATTCCTCCCTTTCGCAAATTTTCAGCAATCAAGATCGCTCCTCTCACCGCTAGCCATGCAAAGAAACACACCTTCGTGGGCACTTTAGGAATCCAGATTGATGAGCATGGAAAAGTGGCCTCCTCTCTCACCAGCATACTCTGGTAAAAAGACTTTACGGTGAACAAACCATCGCCACACAACCCCCATCTCCAAGAATCGCTAGAAGTGTGTGTCCTATGTTGCCCATATAGTAGTGCCAACAAATCTTGGAGTTCTGCAATCTCCCAATCTTGCATGTTCCTTCGAAATGAGAGGTCCCATGCTATGCCCCCTTCATGCTCCTTGCGAATCTGTTGGACCATCAATTCCTTCTGGTTCGAAACTCTGTAAACGTTGGGGAAAGAGACCTTCAGAGTATCCTCTCCACACCATCTATGATTCCAACAACTAATTCTCCTTCCATCTCCCACCCTGTAAGTGATGTTGCCATTAAAGTCTTCCCAATTCTTCATGATGCTTCTCCGCATGCCACACCCAAAAGGTGTTGTGATTGCCTTGGTTCTCCGGCCCCCTCCCGTGGAATCGTACTTTTCTACTATGGCCTCCCTCCATAAAGCATGATCTTCTACCCCGAATCTCCACAGTCACTTCCCCAACAAAGCTCTATTGAATACCCTAAGATCTTTTACTCCTGGACTCCCCCACTTCTTTGGGGAAGTGACTGTCTGTCAATTCACTAGATGAAACTTTCTAGTTCCATCCGCCGCATCCCAAAGAAAGTTCCTTTGAAGCTGCTCCAATTTTTCTATGATGCTCATAGGGGCTTGCAACAAGGACAAGTAATACGTGGGCATATTCGATAAGGTGCTTTTAATATGCACTTCCTCACCGCCTTTTGACAAGTATCATTTTTGCCACCCTGCTAATCTTTTCTCCGCTCTTTCGATTACTGGGTTCCAAACCGAAGTATCCTTGTGCAAAGTGCCCAAAGGGAGACCCAAATATTTAGTGGGAAGAGAGCCCACCTTACATCTGAGAACGCAAGACAAAGCATCAATGTTAGCAACGTCACCCACCGGGAAAATCTCACACTTGCCGAGGTTGATCTTGAGTCCTGATACTATCTGGAACCACTGCAGGACCTGCTTCAGGTAGGTCAATTGCTCCATATTCGTGTCACAGAAAACCAGTGTGTCATCTGCGAAGAGCAAATGAGAGACTCTTCGGGCACTGTGCACTCCGATCGAAGTTGAGAATCCTCTCAAGAAACCTCCGCCCGCCGCACGATCCATCATTTTACTCAGAGCGTTCATCACTAGAATGAATAGCATGGGGATAGTGGGTCACCTTGTTTGAGACCCCTGGAGCTGCAAAAGAAACCACATGGGCTACCATTGACCAGAACAGAGAATCTGACTGAGGAAATGCAGTACTTGATCCATCCCCTCCATCTGACCCCAAACCCCATCCGCATTATAATGAAATCCAAAAACTTCCAATTGACATGGTCGAAAGCCTTCTCAAGGTCCAACTTGCATAGTAAGTAGGGTTCTTTATTTTTCCTTCTGGAGTCTACCAATTCATTTGCCACCAAAGCTGCGTCCAGGATTTGCCTTCCTTTTACAAAAGCATTCTGGGAGGACGACACTGACATGTCAAGAACCCTCTTGAGCCTATTGGATAGCACTTTAGAAATTATCTTGTAAATGCTCCCCACTAGGCTAATAGGCATGTAGTCTGTGATAGAAGATGCACCCTCTTTCTTAGGCACTGTGGTAATAAAAGAAGCATTGATGCTTCTCTCGAAAATACCATTTACGTGGAAGTATTCAATCGCTTTCATTAAATCCCCCTTAATGGTGTCCCAAAAGACATGGAAAAAGGCCAAGAGACACCATCAGGCCCAGGGGCCTTATCACCAACTCGACACAGCCTCGTGCACCTCCTCCTCCTCGAAAGCCCTTTCTAGCCACTCACTGTCTCCCTCCCCTATATGGTTGAACTCTATTCCCCCTAAAGTAGGCCTGCAACTAGCTTCCTCCTTGTATAATTTTTCATAAAACCCCACTATCGCCCCTTTGACCTCCTCCTCTCCCTCAATTCTCACCCCATCCACAACTACAGATTCTATGAAGTTTCTCCTCTGAGTTGCAACCGCAACCCTGTGGAAAAAACTTGGTATTCAAATCTCCCTCC